CCAAATCCGTAAACTACAAGCTAGATCTTTCTTCTGCAATTTCTAACGGGCTTCCCTACAATTTCAGCTAGATCCCTCCGTTGCTATTTCTTAGCCAGATCCTTCTATTGGACTCTTCAATACCTAATGCAGCTGATATGTAGGACCTCATCCGAAGTTTTTTTTCCTGCAACTAGCCCTCCTCCGGAGCTTTTGTTACAGTAGACCTTCCTTTGGAGCTTTTTACTACAACAGACCCTTCTCCGAAGCTATTTTCTTGCAATAGACCCTTTTTCGGAGCCTTTTTCCTGCAGCAAGTCCTCCTCTGAAGCCTTTTCCTGCAGTAGACTTACCTCCGAAGTTTTTTCTTTATTTATGCAGGTCATACCCTGCAGCTTTCCCTATATATTGTCTACTTCCCTGCAGCATTTCCTGCAGTACTACCTGTAAAAACTTTCCAATTACCTACAAAAACTGCGGTAAAAAACAAGCGCAGTCAACTAAAAGTGTCCCTAAATGCCTTGGAGATGAAGACTTCAAGTTTTACGTCATAAATTATCTTCCTCGTCCATTGTTTAATGATTTCAAAACCAAGTTGAACATGATTGACATATGTGTTTCAACTTGAGGGGGAGTGTTAGAAGCTCTTAGTATTGATTTATTTTCTTTCCGATTATTTTCTATTTTATGTTAAAAGTTATTAGTATTGATTATTTCCTTTCCGGTTATTTCCTATTTTCTGAATTTCCTATTTTATATCTATTATTTTATCTTACGGTAATTATTAGGAATTGATTAATTATAATCTTCGAGACATGAGTGTATATATTTCCTATTCTTCATATAACATGTATTTAACTATTTATATCATCTTTCATATCAATAAAATTATTCCGCTAAATTCTCAAAACCTACAAAAACTATAATACCAATGTTGTTTTATTTGAGATCCTAAACATTATCTCTTAGCTCACACGATTCTACAAAATTTTCGAGATATAAAAAAGTAAACCTGACCTTGTTCCAAATGGCCTTTGCATTGGCAATTAATCAAATATGGCAAGCCAACATATTCCTCCTGAGTTGATGAGCCAAGATAAACCAAAGCATTGTTGTTATCCCTTATAATTAACCTTTCGTGAATAGTCATCTGGACGAATTGGGACCATTGAAAGTGGTTCTTATCATTTAAGTTTTAAGTAGAACTTTGAAGAGGAAATTTATCAAAGATGTAGCAAAATTAATGGCAATGTTTCGATTTATCAAAAAACCATCTTCTCCTTATCCCTACTCGTCCTTGTAAGAGTCATCTATAGTTGTCACAAATTGCGCCTTAGCGAACAAAAATTAATAATAACATGTGAATAATCAGACATAATAAGACTAAAAAGGGATTACAGAAATTCATTTTAGCCCAATTAACCGGAGCCAAATGTCAGGGTATTCATAAAGAGATTTTAACACCTAATTCTAGTAAGGATGCAAATAATATATTATAAGGCAATCATTGTAAATTTCATTAGGATATCACAACAAAGCATGGAAGGTTTTCCCCTAATTGCAAGATCTTCCTTATTGGGAAACAAAATTCAAGCATCAGATTATTTCCTGATTAGAAAAGAAACGATAAATACACATTAAACACATTCCTTAAGCTTTCCATAGAAACAACAGAGAGAGGAAGAGCATGTAGGACTAGGAATCCTTGTTGAGCAGGACAAGAATAATGAAGAAGCTTTTTTTCATGCAACTTGTGCAAATGAATGAATTGGCTTATTTTATATATAAACAGAGATTTGAATGTCTTATAACATCAAAAAATCTACTTTATGAAGTATTAGTTATTACAAACAAGTCTCAGTTACAACGTTGTTTTGATGGTATTTTTAGATACACTAGAATTTAATGTTTAACATATTACAAATGTTATTTTTAAACTGGATAAGTTCTCATTTATAGTAGGAATATTACGCTGGCTTATGAATTAGCTTCTTTATGTGAAAAAGATGAGTGCATCAACTCACACCTCAAACCATTGTTGAGATTAGCACCTTCGAAAAACATTTTGCTTCAACCATGCTTTCATTCACACCATATTTTTGCAAAAATGTTTTACTATCATTATAACAAGGGAATTAAGGTATGAGAAAATTATATTCATGATCAAACTAAGCGTAATTCATAAACCAATACAATGCCAACAAGTTTAGAAGCCACTATTTTGTAGAAAGATTATCTAATTGATGACAATAAGTGATTAAAAACCCAGCATTACATTCAATTTTAGCTAAAAAAACTTAGTTGATGTTATTAATATGGATGAATTTTTCGAGAGACACTGAAAAGTATCATGGATAAGAGGTCATGTAAAAGTATTGGTACATAATAGATTTAGTACCCCATGCAACCCTCTGTAGTAAATAGTAATAACAAAGGAATAAAAATAAGTAGAGTTGAACCCAACTAGCTTGGATTGGTCTTATGATAATGATAATGAGTCGGTAACAAATGAAATAATACAATGGAAATCCTAAGAGATAACAAATATTTTATTTTATCCTATGCATGCTCAAGTAAACTAGAAATTAACATAGGAACAAATGTTCATCATATGCCTAATCAATTTAATTTATACTGAAAGCATAAGGAAGTGGATATGTTACAATTTTTCGTTATATGATGCATGAATCAAATACATCATAACCAATTCCTCAAAATATTGGCTAACACGTTACCTTTTCCATTTCAAAAAAGAAATAATATTCTATAAACCCCTATACTTGTTGGTTTTTTGTATGTTACTTCTAAAATAGCTGCTACGGATTCAACAAAATAAAATTTTCTATTTCTTCTTTATTTTTCATCAATTCATTGTCATCTATTCGTGAAATCCTAGCTTAAATCATCAAGTTGTGTTTATGTGATCTAAGTGGCTAGGTATTTGATGGATGTTCTTATTTCTTAAATAAGGTGAATGTAACACTATAAGAAAATGTTAGATTAGACACCACTTATATGCCACGCATTCATGGAATCAAGAATAAGAAAAAAAGAAGAGAACAATATATATATATATATATATATATATATAGAAAAGTGCAAATATCATGTCTTCTAAAAATTTCACATTAGATCCACATTTAACTGCATTCGAGTATGCCTTAGGCATGCAGTAGTTTGCAAATAATAAGCGCTATCACATATTTATACATATAATATGGGGGTAAAGAACAAAATTCCTTCAATCATTAGCAAATATTTAAGTAGTTTGGAGCACACAATATAATGAGAAAAATTGACCAGAGTGAAAACACAAACGTGTGACAACCAAATTAAACAGATTAACTTATCTTAAAAGGGAGAAAAAACCTTATAGAGAGACTGACCTCATAGTTAAGGCAACCACCTTCACGAAGGGAAGACTCGGCCTCTTCAATGTTGCTAGTTTCCGATCTAATCTCACCATCTTCGATTCGTGAAGAGCTTTCACTCACTGAATAATCTACATTAACCATTTCATCTTTAATATCCATCCCAGGATTCAAGCACTTCATTCTTTTATGAGGATCAAATTTAGAAAAGATCCTCAGCCTCCTGAACCACTTTTTATCCGTCATTCTAATTTGAGAAGAAGAAAAAAAATTAGAAATGTCGCTTTAGATTAAAAGGAATAAAAGATTCAGCAAAATAGAGAAACAGGGAACCAATGAAACGACTGAGGTGATCCAACCATGCATTTAAAACAGTTCACATCTCATCAAAATGTAACCTATTTACAACACTAAATCACCAAACAACTAAACCCAGAGAAATCCAAGTATGATTTGAGTAAATATTGTTGAGTTAACTCACATTCCATAGCAAAGAATCCTGCTCAGGTTTGTCTAGTAACAGCTTTAGTAAATCCTTTAAATCCGGAATTACTAAATCCTGGCAGCACTAGGATCAAGTAAATCCGGTATTTAAGGAAAAGCTGAGAGGAATTAAGAAGAAACTAGATTTACTAACTCCAAGATTCAAAATTTACCCTTTGATTTAAGTTAAAATCCACTTAAATTCAATACCAGACAGTCCCTCAACCAAGAGAAATGTCATAAACAAAAACTTACTTCTTAGCATGATTATCGGCTCCAATTCACCACAAATAGAACACAAAAGTCTTGAAAACAAAATAAAATTGAGGAATATATCAAATAGATTATAGGTTTAATGCATTGCAAGCAAATGCCAGGCGGACAAATACCGCAAAATGCCAGAAACCCATTACAGTCAACTCAAACTGGAACTCTTTTGGAGGAAATAAAACAAACACATGCAAATGCTAACCATTCCAAACTGGATAAGATAAACAAATCATTCAAATCAGTAACAATCAAAACATTATATTTCCATTTCATTTTCAGAAATAAAGCGCCATAGCTTTTTATACCTCCATAAATCATTTCGTCATGTCTCCCAGATCTACCTAGCAATGGCTTTTCATGTTCTTAGAAACACTAACCCTAGAAGCCTAGTACAAGGAAGAAGAAAATTCATTTATTCTGCAAAAAACCACCGCATGAATGAAGAATTCTCCTTCAAGCCCCATATAGCTCTTACCCCAACAATAATTCATGTGCCCTCACCAGCCCACCATGAGAGATCCTCTCAAATCACCATGCTTTATTTAGAAAAAAAAATTCAATTCTAGCCTCCGCCCAAAGTAAAATGAACAATTGGAATGGTGGCAATTGAACCGTCCAACTACGATTATAGATAGAGACGATCTATATCCGCCATTAAAAAAACAACACAAGACAACAAAGGAACATATACATTAATGGCCGTACCTTCTTCCGCATTAAGACGGTCGTTCAAACCCCAGAACCATACATAACAGCAGAAATCTACAAATTTAAAACCAAAAAAAAGAGTCCTTGATTTATTGACTTTGTCTCCTCCAAGAACTCCAAATTCGAGTTTCTGACTATAAACCCTAATTTGTGGAGGAAAATTCGAGAGGCTGCCAATGTTTGACCGAAGTTTGTACTCATATGGGGCAAAAGGCAGAAAGAGAGAGAAGGAAAGAAGACCATAAACACTAGAATTGAAGTAAAGAACTTTGAATTTTCGCCATTGAAGAAATCATTCATTAAACATTGAAATGAAGATTGCATTTATAGCTTCTACTTCATTATAACTATATGATAGTAAATTTAATCATGATCATCAAGATTTTGTTTTATATTTTGTACATAACAACAATTGTAATGAGAATGAAGATGAAACTGCAGGGTTGAAATCGAACCATCAAAATATGTTAACAATAGTTTTCCATTAGAATATGGCCTAAGTATCTGAATCAACCTCTTCCAAAAATTATATTAATAAATAAAATAAATAGCGCAAATCTAAAGAAAGTGTTATGTTCCACTATCATTGATAAATTGAAATATATAATAAATTTTTCAATTTATTTTGCAAATATAAATAATATTGCATAACGACTTTATTCAAAACCAAATCGAAGACTTCTTTTTTAATTTACTGTACGAGACAATCATTGAGTCAGTCATTACTCATTCGACTATGCAATCAATTTTGACAATCTTCATTGCAGAGAATGTTCTTTCAACTAAAAGAGTAACAACTGATAAAGTTAATGTCAAAATAATAAGTCTATAAACTAACGGATACACACCATTCTTCTTTATCTGAACTAATTGTTTTGCAAGATCAACTACCATTTGGGGATGAGAAATCAACACTAGTGCCTAGTCCCGCTGGAAGATTGTTTGCCTCGTCGGGGTTCGTTCTATCGGTTATTGTTCTCCTCGACACGAGACTTTTGGACGGTGTAGGTTCGAAGGATTGGGTTGTTCGAATAATCAAGTTTATCATTGAAAGTAGCAAACCACCTTAAAAGTTAGAAGTACAACTTTACAATGGGTCTGATTATTTAAACAAAGAAAAAGTTGGATGTCAGCACTGATCTGAGATTAAATCCTACGGATCACTTCCACTATCTAACATGGGAACTAAATAGGGTTTGGATTAGTTCGGAGGTATTCTTCTACCTATAAGGGCAAGCCCCCAGAATTAATTACATCTTAAGCGGTGGAAGCTAATTAAAAAAACACTCAATTAAAACTGTGATTTTTTTCCTCAAGAAGTTGAATCTTGTCGTTTTCAAAGAAATATTTTAATATTTTATCCTGATGTTTTGTTAGAATGTTAGGACTTATATCGCACGGCATACAATCATGCAGAAGTCTACTGATAATCCAGGACAGAAATGTAGATATGAGCCTATAATTTGAATAAACATACTAACTGCATAAGTGTCAATCCTAGTTAATGTCAGACTCGTCAACTGATATTATTTGAACTATCGTTGGTGGTTTAGTTGAGGCTCATCCTTCGCTTCTTGTTTCATCTTTTTTTGAGTAATTCAGATGTTTATAGTCAGTTGACTATAACACTTTCTAACTCTATAAAAGAAATAAAGACTCAAAGGAAAAAATCTTAGGTTACTACAGCAGCTTGTTTATTTAAAGCAGCCCTGCAAAACATATTTATCACACCCTAATAACATTCAAAGAAAATCTAAGACAGCATTTTGTAAGTTATCTCGAACAGTCCTGCAAAACAAAGTCAATATGTTTCATTTTAATGTAAAAGAAATAATGTGTTCATTTTGATTGTTATCATTTTTTATTTAGGATGATCTAGTCAAGATGCCCATGACTTTCTGGCAACTCGGCATTGTCGAGTTCCATGATCTACTTAGTCCGGAGAGGCGGTCAAACCTACTCCGACTGGATGATTCTTACCAACAACCATGAGTTGCATCCTCCAAAAGATCTTCGTAGACCCGGGTAGTAGGGTTAAAGTTACATTCAGTGATCTTTATTCATTAGGATTTTATTTAAATTTTAGTGACTTTCTTGGATTTTAGGGGTTGAAAATTTTAGATTGTTTAAGATATTTAGCGGATTAAATTTTGTGATTTTTTTTTTATTTTTGATGTTCAAATGACCTTGTCAAGATCCCATGATTTCGTTCTCCGGGATCATTGGTTCTATGGTTTGATCAGTCGCTAGTGGCTGGAAGGTACTTTGCTAGCAGTCATAGGTTGCCTCCTCTGAAGTCCCTTCCCAAACCAAGTTGTGTTTTATAGTTGAAGTTTAAGTTTTAACAATTTTTAGGGTGTGTTTTATGTTACGACTTTTATGTTTATTTTGCATTTTAGTCTGTGTTGTCTTCAGGGTGTGTTAAGTGTGTTTTTATTTCCTTATGAGACGTCAAACACTCCTTAACATAGGTATCTTGAGTTTAAGTTGAGTGAGGTCGGGTTGACCCAGGTTTGATTTAAGTTGATTTGAGTTAACCCAAGTTAGGTTGAGTTGGCCCATGTTTGGTTTAGTTAATTTGAGTTAACCCGAGTTAGGTCAGGTTGACTCTGGTTTGATTAAGTTAATTTGGGTTAGCACAAGTTAGGCAGGGTTGACCCAGGTTTGGTTTAGTTGACTCGGGTCAAACCAGATTAGGCCGGGTTGACCCATGTTTGATTTAAGTTGATTTGGGTTAACCTGAGTTAGACCAAATTGATCCAGGTTTATTTAAGTTGATTTGGGTTAACCCAGGTTAAACTGAGTCAACGTCGGGTTGACCAAAGACTGATTTAAGTTGATTTGGGTTAACCCGAATTAGGTCGGGTTGAGCCAAGTTTGGTTTAAGTTGATTTGGGTTAACCCAAGTTAGGACGGGTTAACCCAAGTTTGGTTTAAGTTGATTTGGGCTAACCCAAGTTAGGTCGGGTTGACCCAGGATTGGTTTAAGTTGATTTGAATTAACCTGAGTTCAGTTGGGTTGACCCAAGTTTGGTTTAAGTTGATTTGAGTTAACCCGAGTTGGGCCAGGTTGACCCAGATTTGGTTTCAGTTAATTTGGGTTAACCCGAGTTAGTTCGGGTTGACCTAGATTTGTTTTGAGTTGATTTGTGTTAACCCGAGTTAGATCGAGTTGAGCCAATTTTGTTTTGAGTTGATTTGGGTTAACAAAAGTTAGATCAAGTTGACAGTAGTTTGGTTTAAGTTAGGTCTAAATTGAGTTAGACCTAAATTAGATTTAAAGTTGGTTTGGAGTTAAGTCTAAGTTAGGTTAGACTTATGTTGAAATTTGGGTCGAGTTTATGAATTGAAACAAGCCTAAGTTCGGTTAGACTTAAGGTTGGTTGCAAGTCTACGTTACTTTAGATTTCAGATAGGTTGTAGTTTAGGGTTTGGTTAAATCAAGTCTAAGTTGGGTTACACTTGAGGTAGGTTGTGAGTCTAATTTAGTTTAGACCCATGTCAAGTTTAAAGTTAAGTTATGTTTAATTTAGGTTAAACCTAAGTTAAGTTTAGATTCAAGGTTTGGTTGAGTCGAGTCTAAGTTGGGTTAGACTTGAGTTGATTAATTTTGGATCAGTTCCAAGCTAGGTTAGAGCTAAGTTAAATTGAGATTTGTCTAAGCTAGGTTAGACCTAACTTAAGATAATTCCATAATTAAATGGATAATGGTGAGCTTAACCCTCCTTAAAGCTTCAATTAGGAAGTGATCTTAAGATTTTCTAAGTTGGTTTTCATATTTAATTTAAGTTTAGAAGACAATTTGGGCTAAAATGCAAAATTTATGATTTTACAAACCTACCCTAGTGTTCTAATTTCAGTTTTAAATTTTCAGAGGTGAAAATTATTGTTTTAGTGTTTAGGATTGCTTCCTTAATTTTTCTTTTTAATTTCCATTTTAAATCATATTTTTTATTTTTATTTTATTTTAATAATTATTTTTCAAAAATAAATATAGTTTTGATAAGAAATTAGACATTTTGGTGTTATAGAGATCCCCTAACTTTGAAAAAATCAGAGAATATCACCAGCATGCATTGTTGTTTTGCTTCACAAAAGGCCAAACCGAGAGCAAAAATGGTGAATTCAAGTCATTAACTTATCCCAAGAGGTGAAGCATCGACTAGGTTTGACAGAGACGATCATCTTGATGCCACGAAACTCCTCCTTACTTCAATTTGCTCTGTGGTTACGCCTAAATATGTGCTAGACCAAAGGGTGGCTCAGGTTGGTGTTGAGCTAGGTTAGAGGGTGCGGGGAAAGTGTATTTTGATTGGGGAAGAAGTTTTAGGACCTTGTGAAGCTTATGAAAGGGTTAATTTTGAGTTTTTGTAAGGTTTATGTCAAAGCCGTAAAACAACCTAGATTTCAGTGGTGAAATTAGGGTTGTGTCGTGGTGGAGATAGCTTGGAAATGGTGGGAGGTGGTCGCTAGGGCCTGTAGGAGTGTTTTTGGTGTTGAGAGCTAAGGGTTTAAGTGGCTAACAATGAAGCTCGAAGTGTCTCCAAGGCTCTTGGATTAGCTCCTTCTATAGCCATGGGAGGCCATAGGGGGTGCTCTGGCTTGCTTGGGAGACTCTAGTGGCTTCTCAGAGAATGAGCACGGGATGTCCAGAGGCTTCTGAGAGAGGTGAAGTGCTTTCTCCATTTTTGATGCCTTGAGCATGGTGGCTCCAATGGAGGTGAAGGTGACATGGAGAGGAGCTTGGAGCGACTGGGGAACTTTTGGTAGGGTGGCTAGGACCATAATTGGTCTGGTTTGACTCACCCTTGACCAGAGTTTGGCTCCCCAAGGTTTAAACATGGGATAGTTGAACTTGGGTGTCAAGTGTTAGTCTCCTTGGCAAAGTGTGCATAGTTTGTCTTTTTGTGCTTGTTTTATGTTTAATTTTCTTTTAATTAAACCATATTTAGGTTGTAGTGTCATAATAGGTTATTTGGGTTATGTGAGTCCTGTGTGTCATGGTTGACCCATGAGGAATGGGCAATGAGGGATGGGTCATGGGCTCTCCAATGATGGCTTGGGCTTAAGATTAAGGTTGGGCTTTTGTAGTTAAGTTTAGCCTTAGGTGATTATGGTTGGCCCAAAGGGTTAGGCATAGTGAGCCTTTATAATTTACTTATGATATTTAAATGTCTTTGGCCTAAATATTTTGAATTGATTTTGATTTTGTTTTGAGTAGTTTAGTTTTTAACTAATTAACTTGGTGAATTTTGGTGATTTCAATTTTTTTAGGATTAAGTTGGTGTGTTTAGAATTTGTGTCAATTTTAAGGTTGGTCGGTATTGGGAAAATCATTAGATGAGACCAAACTTTGACTTTGGTGACTCAGCCCTCCCCCTGGCCTGAATTTTAGTGTGATAGGGTTTCGAAGGCTTTTGAGGTAATGTGGTCAAAGATAAAACCCTTCATTGGCCTAGGGCTAGCCTCCTGTCCAAGCTTTTCCTAGGTCAATGAGAATTCTAGAGGTGGTCGATGGGTCATTAGGGGAATTCCTAGGGATTTAAGCTTCATGGGTACCCTAGAGCATCCCCCACCTATAGGAATTTAACTTGGGCTTCCACTAGGCTAGACCATCAACCATCTCAACCAAGGTCACTAGAAAACCCTAAAGCTAGATTCTAGGCAAATGAACTATATATGAAACTTGAACTGGTTAAATAGTTTGCCATCAAATTCACATAATTTACATATTTTGTTTCTCCACTCACAGTTTCTTTCATTTGTGTGGATGAAATTTGATAATGAAGACCACATATTACAACCACCACTATATTGGACCGACCCCACGGATAATGATTATACCATCTAAATTAAATAAGTAATAATAAAAAAGAGACATTTACATATATACCACCCAATTCCTATGTATTTACATATCTAACACCTAAATTTATCCAAATTTTTCATATCACATAAAAAGTACCACAATTAAAAAGATAGAAAAAGAAAATTACAAGTTTTAAAGATGTAGATCTAACCTGAAGTTCCATGAGCTTCTCGTGGATTTGCATACAACCCAAATGTAATTTCCCTCCAAAATGATCCACCAGGGCCAATCGAAAGTCACTGCAAATCAGTAATTAAAGAATCTATTCACAAAGCAACGCGTAAATTGTTGAAAAAGTTTCATCGAGCTCGGCAAATGCCATAAATCCTACTAATTCTTATAAATCCTTGTAAAATAGAAAACACACACATTATTGAGCAGCAAAAGTTTACTCGTAAAACTGGGCCCAAAAGCTAGCTGGCACAAGGTGCAATTTCTAAAATCAAAAGCTTATGGTCAGAAACTGGATTTTGTAGTGACAATATAATGAAAATGTTTAAAGTAGCTTCAATATCCATTTGGTACTGTTAAAATGTAAAATTAAGAGTTGTCCAGTAAATTGGGTGAGTGCAGTGTTCAATCACTTCACATTTATTCAATCATCTGAATGTTTCCTAGAAATAACAATATTCAAGAAGCAATAAATCTTTCCCTCTAGTTAAAAAACAATATCCTGTTTCACCTTTACAAAAATCAGTATATTGTTTTTACATCCAGCTATATTAGCATATAATTAACATAATAAAGTTAATCAGCTTAAAAAGCACTGCTAAACTCAGCTTAAAAAAAAATCATAAGAACACAAGAAGCATTGAATGAACGAACTCACAATTCGAACATCAGCAGCAGTGTACTTCAAAGAGTCCACTGATGGTGGCTCTTGCCGAGCACCTAACTGAAGAGAAAAATGGTTAAACTAAACTTTCAATTTAGGTGTGTAAGGCAATACCTTAAAAAGCATATCAAGCATATAGAGAAGTCTCCATCTGAAAACATATATAACTAACAACTCAGTAGTTGAATATTTCTTCAGTTCTTTATTTTGTATGGTTATTGCTTCATAGAACAGTCGTTAGGTGCCCATAGATGGAATCTATAACCCATTCATATTTTAGCATGATTTAAAATTAACAATGTTCTACCAACAAAACAAACATTTAAAAATGCAAACAATAAAATATGAATTTCAATTCAGTTCTTCAGTGCCCATAGCAAGGAATCAAGAGTCGATCCAAAATTTATGATGACTTGGAATACTGAAAACCAAAAACCTACAAGTTTACCATGACAGCAAAAAAGTGAAATCTAAATAATCAATTATCTAATATAAATTTGTTCACGTAAAATATTACAGTAAAAAAAAATATACTAGAAGAGTAACCAGCAAGCAACAGGATCCATATGTCTATTTCAAAAGCTGCGGTAGAAAAAGAAGCACTTTTTACGTATTCCAACAATGGAATCAATACTTAACCCATGTTTTATTACAATCCAAAATCTTGACATCAGGAATCTAAGTAGCTATTCAAAAGATATAGACAAGAAGCCATCAATTTTCACTTCTAGATGTGCCGTAAAAGAATCATCCAAAATGGCTCCAAGATAGCAATAATCAGTAAATATCACCTTGATTTGTTTTTTATTGTTTGATCTACCAGAAATCATTCTATTTTCCATATGAGAAAACAATGACCCATTTTTTAGTTGATGTTCTACCAATCAAAAAATCATTTTTTTGTTGGCATTTATCAAAACATACTAGGTGTTCCATGGATCGAGTAATTAATCTTATCTTTCTTGTTCAAAGAATAGATAAAATTCAGTACTCCGAATACAAGGAAAGTGCAACTAAATTAATCAGTCATTGCAATAAACTTAAGCTAATACAAAAAGAGACATCCCTCACCAAATAGAACAAGATCGCCGTCCTGGAGAGCAGGAATCAGGCGGCCAAAGAACTGCACGCATAACAAAAATAACATAAATTCTGGAAAAACAGTATCAAATCAACTCCTAATGTTTCGATTAAACACTCAAGAATGATGGATCAAACCAATCAATTATTAACGGGAAGGTCGGTATGAGGAGGCCTCTTGTGCTGGCAGGGCCGTGAAGGTGGAAAGCGGGTGGGAAGAAGCAGGACAGAGATGAGAGTTAGTGAGTAACCTTATCTTCATTCATGAATGGTTTCAAGCATGACCACAACGGAACCCTGGATCTGGATGTCAAATATGGGGATTTCGGAGGTCTTCCTACGCCGATCCCGTCGTTCCTTCCCGACTAGCTTGCGGTCAGCCGGTCACGAGGGACCGTAGCTGCCGGCCGCAGAGGAGTCCAAATGCCCCCTTGCTGACAGAGGGCGCCACGAGAGGATGCCCTAGAGTCGAATGCGGAACGCTGTCGGTGGAAGCCGAGTGGCAAATTAGGTTTCGGTCTCCGGATGTGGTGTCCGTTGTTCTCGAAATTCTTCAGGGGGGGCAGTTGACGGGACTCATAGTAGATCACCTGCCACAGAACTGAGTAGAATTAGGAAATATTATTTAAGCCTCGTTTGACCCGATTGGCTCTCTATATTCTGAACGCGAATCTTCTGTAATCAGAAAACAAGGTAGGAACTGTTTTTTTTAAGACATACCACTCAAATATTAGTTTAATTCATACTAATTAGATTTTGAACCTAAAATTACAAACCAAGTGGCACGTGTCAATTGTTGCGAAGCACGGGCGGCTCGTGTAAGTATACGTGGCACATTTGTAGTACCGGGACTTGAGTTTGGTTGTCGATTCCACGAGAAATGAGATAAACTCCATTAAGAAAAGTTTTAGCCTACAATTGTTAGTCCTAGCTTGAAAGGTTTAAGTTTTGAAGTTCTTAAACGTAATTTTTAAAAATAAACAAAGCTTAAGTTTTAAAACTAGTAAGATAAAGTAATGATGATTAGGGCTGTCAAAAAAGTTCGTTGTTTGTGAACAGTTCGTGTTCGGTTCGTCAATGAGTTCGTGTTCGATTCGTTCGATAAGTAAACGAGACGAACGTCAACAATTTTTTTCGCTTTGTTAGTTAAATGAAACAAACACGAACAGTGATGCGTTCGTTCGTGTTCAACTCGTTATTGCTCGAAATATAAAATAATTTAAAAAATTATATTTAAAAATTTTAAGATATTTTAAAGATTTTAAATTTATTAATAATAATATATAATAAATTAATAATATTAATATATTAATATAATATATTAGTAATATACTAATATAGATATATATATTAATATTAGGAATGTCAAATTGGCTCGTTGTTCGCGAACAGCTCTAGTTCAGTTCGTTTGTT